CTCATATCTCATTTCCATGACTTAAACCAAAAGCTGTGACATCATCTTTCATATAACTTGCTCTAGCCTCCACTGCAGCAGCAAATCCTGTCACCACCACCTTCAAAATATACCCTGAGTCTATACAGTTCTACCACCTCCACTGCTATCGAGATCAGGAGAGAAAAAGAAACGTATAGAGACAACCCTGGCATTAGGGGCTCGTTTTCCTCATGCTATGGATAGGCATCTGCCAATTCCAAAAAAAAAAAAAAAGGCTGAAAAGCTGAATGCCCTGAAACTCGCTCAAAACCACCCAGGGGGGTACTGGGAAAGCCATTAATGGGAAGGTCCCTTGCGGTCTGCATAATTTTACTGTAATGTCACTTCAGGGGGTACCGGGGAAGCCGCCAGCTCCAGAAAAACTGAGAGCCAGAAAATTGTAGTTCTAATGCAGAAAATGCACCTTGAAATAGTTTTGATTTTCCTAGATTGATCCTCTCCTGAATTCGTCTGTTTCGTAGGTAGTCTAGCGCATTTGGGAACTGCAATGAGCCAATGTTGTAGGCAGGTGGCGCAAGAGGACCATATCCACCATGGGGCCGCTCCTTTTGGCCCCTTCTGTTCTGGACATTGTTCATTCAATGATGAGTCCACAGTAACCCAAGCAGCTGTTCTCACTCCTGCAAAAATCTGCACCTCTGCTGCGTCTAGGAAGAGAGGGGCTTCATTTGGGCCCCCAGTGGTTCCTTGGAAACACGCCCTCGGGTCTTCCCAGCTTCTCTGCACACTTCCTAAAAGCGTTGGGATAATTCAGGAAACTACACAGCAGGAGGTTAAAACTTAAAAGATTTCTGCTGAACACTTATTTTGGTGGAAAAGCATTTAAGGCATTAAATCCTTTACAAGAGGGCCCCCTGAAGTCCACACAATTGCTAATCAGTCTTCCCTGCTTTCCAGCCCAGGCCTCTCTGTAGAGAAAGAAGGAAAATTAAAACCGCCTTCCATCTCACCCAGGCATCCTTCACCTACTGTTTAGAGGGCGCGTTGCCGCCCATAGACACTGACCAACCCCAGGACACGCCTAGGGCAAGTGCATCTCTTCCAGTGAAAATGTTTAATACCTCCTCAAGGAAAAACAAAACAAAACAAAACAGAACCAACACAAAACTCATAGAAAAAGATCAGATTTGTGGTTATCAGAGGTAGGTTTGGATAGTTGTTGGTGGTTGATGGTCAAAAGATACAAACTTCCAGTTACTTCGTAAATAGGTACTGGGGTATAATGTGTGACAGTTAACAATGCTGTATGGTACAAAAACTTTAAAGAGAATGTTCTCATCACAAGAAAAAACATTTTTTTTCTTTTCTTTGTGTCTATATGGGCTAATGAATGTTAACTAAACTTATCATGGTGATCATTTCACTATATACGTAAGTAAAATCATTATGCTGTTGTGGATGATGAAAAAGGCCACATACTAAACCTGGCAAGCTCAGGAGAGGCCAACATGGTGGTTCCCACAAACTCAGAGACCGAAAGTAGCCAACAACAGAGGATGGTCTGAACATAAAAAATTTCTCACTAAAAGGTCACGGAGGGTAGTCACATCCCGAGCCTGTAGCTTTCTTGAGCCATACCCTTGGAATGTCAGAGTAATCCCCTTTTTCCAGATCCCTCAGGGCACAAACCACAGTACCAGATCACAGGACCACACAACCCTTCATGGTTATCTTTTTCCCCACATACCATCTCTATGTGTCGTAAATGTTAGTTATTAACTCTCCTGTACCTACCAGTATAAAAGAAATGTGTGTCCCTCGGTTTTACTTTTTATCCAACACCAGAGAGTTCCCACTCTGCTTTCTCCCGCTCCCTTAATCTACCACCAATGAACCCTCCTTAAGTCTCCTCATTTTATTCTAATGTATAAAATAAGCTGCAAAACTGCAATTCTCCAGAGCATTTTCTTAATCTTTCGAGATTTTGCTTCCTGGAAATTGTCGTCAGTTTGGCTCAAATAAACTCATTAAAATTCTCTACAAGTTTGGACGTTTCTTACTTCACCACTGTAATACCTTAAACTTATACAGTGCTCTATGTTAATTATCGCAATCAAACTGGGAAAAATTGACCTGGGGGGAAGCAGATTATAAAAAAGCATTTTATCATGATTTCACTTTTAAAAAAATCATATCTATTCATAAAAATAAAAGAATATGCCTTAAAATGTTAACAATGGGTTGGTAAGACAGTGGCTTTTTTTGGTGATGGCTTAAGATCTCCTATAATTATAAATTTTACAATGAACATATGCAATTTTGCAATCATAGAATATATTAAAATTTTTTCTTTAAAATAAAATTATTCATGATCTTTAGAGGCACGACCAGCCCCGATCTTTACCACTGCAAGACCTCAGACCATTGGCTGAGAAGGAGGGCCCGGTGGCTTTGGCTTCCAGGGCCCCCACTGCCCAGGCAGGTGGGGCACTCAGCACCGTCTTACAGACAGATCCTCCACTGGGTACAGGTGCAGGAATGGTTAAATCAAACCCAGGCATCTTCCAGGGACAAACGTTTATTTTCCAAGAAAGTAATCTAAAATTTTAAGAAGAAAGGGATGTTTTCCTAAGTTGGCAAACAGTGGCATCCAAATCTCTCTTTATTGGTCAAAACAATATTACTTTGACATCATCAGCACCACCCCTACTCCCACTGTTCTTTTCAAATTGTGCATTTTGGGGCCAACTGGGAATGAGAGTTTCACATCTGTGACATCTCCCTTGTAAGGGACACTCCCTGCAGTTCGCAAAAACTAGATTCCCTTAACTTTGAAATGTCATCTGCTAAGAATTCAACCTTCAGTGTCCTCTTCTGTCCTAGTCTAGATGAGGATGAGAAATTGGGCAGCTTTACTTCTCTGTTTATGTAATTTAAAAAACAACATGGGAGGACTGTGCTGCTTTGTGCAACCACAAATCTCACACAGTTGAAGGGTGGTCCTGATGAGAGAGCTTCGTGTGTTAGTAATAAGCTGATACTCACAGAATGGTGGCCCTGCCCAACATCCAGCTACAGGAGCAAAGAAAGATTTTCCCTTTCGAGGCTTGGACCCAACCAGTCTGGACCTATGAAGACCTTGTTTCCATTACAATGGCATTTACAGAGCTGGTCGTTCAGTAGCTGTAATTGACTCAGGCAAATGGGACCTATTCAGCAGTAAAAACTTTTATTTATCCCTTTCGCCTGAAAAAAAAAACCTTTAGGACCAGGGTTAATTCGCCTCCACAAAATAGGTCAAGCAAATTCTTACAAGGCTAGGCAATGAAGCAATGTTTCCAGGGGTCTCAGGCCAATATTTCTCTGGAATAAAAGTAAAATATCGATGGCCTCATAGACCAGAAACAAATAGTCTAGTGCCTTTTGGGTAGACATTCATTATTAACTATGAAGTTTAAGGAGACATTTGGGCCACGATGACCAGAGCATTTATGACTATCGCAACAGTGTGTTCCAGCTGCTCTCACCCCACCAGCTGAAGTGCCCTTGAGCTCAGGTGCAGTCAATGGAACTTACAGGGAATTCTGAATGTGTCACATGCCTAATCGTAATTGTTATTATCATGTTATCACTATATGTTTTCTACAAAGTGTTCATAAAGCCAGATATAATACTGTTCAATAACGTCTCCCTGAATATATGGCACTTGTGTTCCTGCCCCAAAAGAGAACCATTTTGAACTTGAGTCCTATCTGGAATTTACTTTTCCATCAAGAGGACAAAATGCCAAAATTTATTCTCATCTCGCATCAGTGACTCAGGGCAGAAAAGAGGCAACTGGAAGAAAAGGAGTGCTCGGATTAAAAAGAAAAGCGGGGCTGCAAAGCTGGGCAAATAAAGGAAGAAATCTTTCCCAAGATAAAAATTCACCCTGGGATGGTAATTTGCAAAGTTCATTAAGGAAAGCAAAAACTCCATAGGAATATAATTGCAAAACACACTGAACTGACAGTGCTATATCAAAATAAAAAATTTTCTTTGATGAGTAATTAGGTAGTTTTCACATTTATCCAAATTTAGGCCACGGTAGAATAACTCCGGACACAGAGGAAGAAGGAACTGGGGCCAGAGAACAATAAAAACCCAAAGCAGAACAGGACAGAGCCATCCTTATCACCACACTCAGCTAAGGATTTTCATCAACTTACATTGAAAATAAATAAGAAATTCATGTCTGAAATTCACAGTTTCATTTATAGTTTATCATATATAATGTTCCAAGTC